TACTACAGTAACACAAAAGTATTTTATTTCTAAAAAATATTAAGGGTTACCCTGGCAGTCTATAATGAACATCATACACATGGGGTGAAACCCTGGCCCCAGTGAAGTCAATGTGAGCTTTGCCATTGACTTCAATGGAGTCAAGATTTCACCCAATATATTAAAGGATGTTTTCTGTAACCATCACTTTTGTAGACACCACCAGGGATCTCAAAGTTATGCTCTTTGTGCCTAGATGTATCACCACCAGCAATAAAGGTTCTGCAGAAATTGCATCACACTTTGTAACAACCAGGCACTGGATCAGAAATGGAAAATAATGACAAATGGACACAGCAGATCAAATGATGTACAGTCCTACCATGGACAGATCTTACCTAATTTGACAGATACCTTAGGAGTCTGTCTTTTTTCAATACTTTGGCAACACCTGTATAGCTTGTTTCATGACAACAAAGTCTCATTGAATTTGAATTTACAATCAGAACTTTGTTAACCAATATGAAGCTGATGCATGAATGGAATTAGGTTCTCTTTTTCCAGAAATGTATTGGTTCTGCCATGCTAACAGGAGCAAAAACTTGGTAGATACAACTAAATGTCCATAGTGACCAGATCTGTTGAGTTCATTACATAGTCTCTTTTCTGACCATAGCTACATACTAATACTTTGATAGGGTGGTAGTGATTTGAAGCAATGTGGGAACAAAGACAATAGATTATTTTCCTTCTATGTAAAATGCTAAGGAAGGCACACCACTTTGCACAGCATACCTGTATGTTGTGTCTGGCTGCAAATTGTCTATGAAATAGCTTGAAACCTTCCCAACAGTTACAGGCTGCTTTTCTCCATAGTCTATGCTGTAGCCAAGGATTTCAGAACCATGGTCACAGGGCTTTTCCCAGCTTATGGCAAGGCATGTGGAAGGTGAATAGTGTGGACTCTCCACTTCATCTTCACTTCTTCCCTGAAGACAGGTCACAACTGCAGGTACAGAGGCTGGTGTCATGCATACAACTACTTCACTGAAAGGTCCTGCGCCTGCAACATTCACGGCCTGCAAATGCAAAGCAACATAAGAATGGTGATACTGGGTCAGATCAATGGTCCATCAACTCAATATACTGTCTTCCCACAGTAGCCAATGCCAGGTGCTTCAGAAGGAATAAACAGAACAGGTAATCATCAAGTGATCCATCCTGTTGTCCATTCCCAGCTTTTGGCAATCAGAGGCTAGGGACACTCAGACCATGAGATTGCATCCCTGACCGCCTTGGCTAATAGCCATTGATGGACATATCCTCAAAGAACTTATCTAATTCTCTTTTAACCTTGTTACAGTTCTGGCTTTCACAATGTCCCCGGGCAATGAGTTCCACAGATTGACTATGTGCTGTGTGAAGAAGTACTTCCTTATGTCCGTTTTAAACCTGCTGCCTATTAATTTCACTGGGTGACCCCTGGTTTCTTGTGTGAAGGAGTAAATAATATTTCCTTATTCACTTTCTCCACACCAGTCACTATTTTATAGACCTCTACCATATCCCCTCTTAGTCATCTCTTTTCCAACCTGAAAAGTCCTAGTCTTTTTAATCTCTCCTCATACTGTTCCCTATTCTTAATTATTTTTGTTGTCCTTCTCTGTACTTTTTTGAATTCTAATATATCTTTTTTGAGATGGGGTGACCAGAACTGCATGCAGTATTCAAGGACTGGGCATACCATGGATTCATACAGTGGCATTATGATATTTTCTGTCTTATTATTATTATTATCTATCCCTTTCCTAATGGTTCCTAATATTCTATTGGCTTTTTTGACTACCACTGCAGACTGAGTGGATGTTTTCAGAGAACTATCCACAATGATTCTAAGATCTCTTTCTTGAGTGGTAAGAGCTAATTTAGACGCTATCATATTGTATGTATAGCTGGGATTATGTTTTCCAATGTGCATTATTTTGCATTTGTCAACATAGAATTTCATGTGCCATTTTGTTGCTCACTCCGTCCCCCAGTTTTGTGAGATCTTGAGTAATTTTGCATCGTCTGCAAATTTGCCACCTCACTGTTAACCCCTTTTTACAGATCATGTATGAATATGTTGACCAGCACTGATCCCAGTACAGATCCCTGGGGGACACCACTATTTATCCCTATCCATTGTGAAAATTGACCATTTATTTCTACCCATTGTTTCCTATCTTTTAACAAGTTACTTATCCATGAGAGGAGGTCCCTTTTATTCCATGACTGCTTACTTTGCTTAATAGCCTTCTGTGAGGGATCTTGTCAAAAGCTTTCTGAAAGTCCAAGTACACTATATCCACTGGATCACCCTTGTCCACATGTTTGTTGATCCCCTCAAAGAATTCTAATAGATTGGTGAGGCACGATTTCCCTTTACAAAAGCCATGTTGACTTTTCCCCCAACAAATGGTGTTCATCTATGTGTCTGATAATTCTGTTCTTCACTATAGTTTCAACCAATTTGCCTGGTACTGAAGTTAGGCTTACCAGTCTATAATTGCCAGGATCGCCTCTTGAGCCTTTTTAAAAAATTGGTGTCACATTAGCTATTTTCCAGTCATCTGGTACAGAAGCTGATTTAAATGATAGGTTTCATACCAGAGTCAGTAGTTCTGCAATTTCATATTTGAGTTCCTTCAGAACTCATGGGTGAATCCCATCTGGTAGGTGGCATATTATTATTTAATTTATCAATTTGTTCCAAAATCTCCTCTATTGACACCTCGATCTGGAATAATTCCTCAGATCTGTCACCTAAAAAGATTGGCTCAGGTGTGGGAGTCTCCCTCACATCCTCTGCAGGGAAGACCAATACAAAGAATTCATTTCACTTCTCCGCAATGGCCTTATCTTCCTTAAGTGTTCCTTTAGCATGTCCTTTGTCCAGTGGCCCCACTGATTGTTTGGCAGGCTTCCTGCTTCTGATGTACTTAAAAAACTCTTTGCTGTTAGTTTCTGAGTTGTTGGCTAGTTGCTCTTCAAATTCTTTTTGGCCTACCTAATTATACTTTTACACTTGACTTGCCAGAATTCATGCTCCTTTCTATTTTCCTAAGTAGGATTTAACTTCCAATTTTTAAAGGAAGCCTTTTTGCCTTTAACCACTTCTTTTACTTTATTGTTTGTTGTGGCACTTTTTGGTCCTCTTATTGTGTTTTTTAATTTGGGGTATACATTTAATTTGAGCCTCTATTATGGTGTTTTTAAAAAGTTTCCATGCAGCTTGCAGGCATTTGAGTTTTGTGACTGTACCTTTGAATTTCCATTTAACTAGCGTCTTCATTTTTGTGTAGTTGCCCTTTCTGCAGTTAAATGCTACTGTGGCAGGCTTCTTTGGTGTTCCCCTCCCGCCCAAGGATGTTAAATTTCATTATATTATGGTTGCTATTATCAAGCAGTTCAGCTATATATTTTTCTCTTGGACCAGATCCTGTGCTCCATTTAGGACAAATCAAGAATTGTCTCTCTTCTTGTGGGTTCTAGGACTAGCTAGAAGTCATTTATGGAGTCAAGAAACTTTATCTATGCATCCCATCCTGAGATGACATGTACCCAGTCAATATAGGGATAGCTAAAATCCCCCATTATTATTTAGTTTTCTATTTGTATTGCTTCTCTAATCTCCTGGAGCATTTCCTAGTCAGGTGGTTGGTGGTAGATCCCTACTGCTTTATTCTTATTATTCAAGCATGGAATTTCTATTCATAGAGATTCTATGGCACAGTTTGATTCATTTAAGATTTTTATAATATTTGACTCTATTCTTTCTTTCACATACAGTGCCACTCTCTCACCAGCACGACCTATTCTGTCATTCCTATATATTTTGTCCCCCAATATTACCATGTCCCATTGCTTATCATCATTCTATCAAGTTTCTGTATTGCCTATTATATCAATATCCTCATTTAATATGAGGCGCAAAGTTCACCATCTTAGTATTTAGACTTCTAACATCTGTATACAAGCACTTATACAATTTGTCACTTTTTAGCTGTCTGCCATTATGTGATGTAATTGAATGGGACTCTTTCATTTGACTGTTTCTCGTCATCTCCTACCTGTACTTTATTAACTTCTATCCTATCTTCAATACTAGGATATAGAGAATTCCCATTAATAGATCTTTCCCTAAGGGATGTCTCTATCCAAACCATGTGCTCCTCCGCATCTGATAGCTTTCCCCCCAGACCTTAGTTTAAAAACTCCTCTACCACCTTAAATTTTACATGCTAGGAATCTGATTCTGTTTTGGTTTAGGTGGAGCCCATCCTTCCTGTATAGGCTCCTCATTTCCCAAAAGGTTCCCCAGTTCTTAATAAATCAAAACCTCTCTCCCTACACTATTGTCTCATCCACGCATTGAGAAAAATGGTTACTCACCTTCTCATAACTGTTGTTCTTCGAGATGTGTTGCTCATATTGATTCCACGTGCACAGTCATTGGAAGGTTTTTCCGCTAGCAACACCCGTTGGATTGGCTGTGAAGCCCCCTGGAGTGGCACCTCCATGGCGGTGAATATAGGACCCTGCCGACCCGGCTCCTCCTCAGTTGCTTCTTGCCAGTACTCTGACAAAGGGGAAGGCGGGTGGATATGAGAAACATATCTCGAAGAACAACAGTTATGAGAAGGTGAGTACCCATTTCTTCTTCTTCGAGTGCTTGCTCATATCGATTCCAATTAGGTGATTCCCAAGCCTTCCCTAGGAGGTGGGGTTGGAGTTATGGAATTGCTGACTGGAGCACCGCTCTGCTGAATGCTGTATCGTCTCTGGCATGCTAGGTAATTGAGCAATGAGAGGTGAAAGTGTGAACCGAGGACCATGTCACTGCCCTGCAGATCTCCTGGACTGGAACCTGGGCCAGGAACGCCGCCGAGGAGGTCTGCACTCTCTTGGAATGTGTTGTTAGTGCAGAGGCTGGAATTTTGGCTAACTCATAGCATGCCTGGATACAGGACGTGATCCATGATGAGATCCTCTGCGATGAGACCAGGAATCCTTTCATCCGGTCTGCCACTGCCACGAACAGCTGGTTTAACTTACGAAACAGCGTTGTGCGTTCAATGTAAAAGGCCAGCGCTCACCTAATGTCCAGAGAGTGAAACCTTTGTTCTTGGCTATCCGTGTGAGGCTTAGGGTAAAAAACAGGTAGAAAAATGTCCTGGTTGGAGTGGAATTAGGACACAACCTTTGGGAGAAAGGCTGGGTGAGGCCTGAGCTGCACCTTGTCCTTATAGAAAACCATGTAAGGAGGGTCGGAGGTGAGGACTTGTAGCTCCTATACCCTCCTTACCAAAGTAATGGTGACTAGGAAGGCCACCTTCAGTGACAGGTAGAGGAGCGAGCAAGTCACCAGGGGTACAAATGGTGGCCCCGTTAGTCTGCACAGGACCAGCTTCAGGTCCCATGCCAGGATTGGCTGTCTAACCCGTGGGTACAGTCTGTCCAGCCCCTTTAGGAAATGGCCAACTATGGGACTGGCGAAGACAGAACACCCAGTCGCTCCCGGGTGGGCGGCCAAGATGGCTGCTAGGTGTACCTTGATGGATGGTGCCACCAGGCTTTGCTGTTTCAAGTGCAGTAGATAGTCCAGGATAAGCGGTATGTGCAACTGCATCGGAGGTACGCGGCTCTGAGAGCACCAGATTGCAAACCTTTTCCACTTGGCCAGGTAGGTGGCCCTGCTGGAGGGTTTCCTGCTACCAAGTAAGATCTCCCTAACAGGCTCTGAGCACCTGAGCTCCATGGGGTTAGCCATGGAGCTTCCAAGCTATGAGGTGAAGGGACTGGAGGTCTGGGTGCTGAAGGCGACCATAGTATTGGGTGATCAGGTCCGGGACCAGGGGCAGTGGACTGTGATTGTCCACCGATAGCTCCAGGAGCGTGGTGTACCAGTGCTGACGAGGCCAAGTCATTGCCACCAGTATGACCGCTGCCTTGTCTCAGTGGATCTTGAGCAGAACCTCGTGGATGAGTGGGAACGCAGATGGTCCATCCAGGGTAGGAGAAATGCATCCGCGAGTGAGCCCGGACTGTGATTCTGGAAGGAACAGAATCACAGGCACTTTCTGTTGTCCCGTGTGGCAAACAGGTCGATCTGGGAAATTCCCCACCTTTGGAAAACGCTGTGTATTACGTCCAGGCGGATGGACCACTCATGGTTGTGGAAGGATCTGCTGAGGTAGTCCACCAACTCATTCTGGGACCCTGGGAGGTAAGACGCTTCCAGGTGAATAGAGTAGGCTATGCAGAAGACCCACAGCTTGAGGGCTTCCCAACGTAGGGGAGAAGAACGAGTCCCACCCTCCTTGTTTGTATAAAACATCGCAGTTGTGTTGTCTGTCATGACTCCCACACACTTCCCTTGCAATTGGACTTGGAAGGTTTGGGATGCTCGTCGGACTACCCTCAACTCCTTGATGTTGATGTGGCGTGAGAGCTCATCCTGCGACCAGAGGCCTTGCGTCTGTAGTTCTCCCAGGTGAGCGCCCCATCCCAGCGCAGATGCATCTGTTACAAGAGACAGAGAGGACTGGGGTCTGTTGAAGGGGATTCCCTCGTACACTTCCTGTGGGTTGAGCCACTAGCAGAGGGACTTGAGGACCTGCACCAGAAGAGTGACCACTGTGTCTAGGCAGTCTCGCCCTGGACAGTAGGCCGATGTTAACCAAGCTTGTAGAGGCCTGAGCCTCAGTCTGGCGTGCTGTACCATATAAGTACATGTTGCCATGTGGCCGAGGAGCCTCAAGCAACCCCTTGCTGTGGTCATAGGGTGCCGTCTGAGGCTTTGAATGATGTCCGTCATTGCTTGGAAATGGGCCTCTGGCAGTGACGCCGTGGCCCGGCCCGAGTCCAACACTGGGGCGATAAACTCTATCCTTTGAGTTGGTGATAGGGTCGATTTGTGTTCGTTGAGGAGGAAACCCAACCTGTCGAAGGTGGATCTCACAAAGTGGACCTGAGCCTCCACTTGATCCCTGAAATCTCCACTGAGCAGCCAGTCATTGAGGTATGGATATATCTGCACTTGCCTCTGACGTAGGAAAATGGCCATGACCGACATGCACTTGGTGAAGACTCGTGGGGCTGTGGATAGGCCGAAAGGGAGGACCGTGAATTGGTAACAGTTGTTGTAGACCACAAACATGAGGAAATGTCTGTGAGCAGGATGTATCGAGATGTGGAAGTATGCATCCTTGAGGTCGAGGGCAGCGTACCAGTCTCCTGGATCAGGAGAGGTGATGATCGAACTTAGGGAGACTATGCGAAACTTCAGCTTTTTTATGAAGCTGTTGAGGCCTCGCAGGTTGAGGATGGGTCTGGGAGGGAGGAGAAGAGCAGAACTGGAGAGAATATCCCACTTTTACCATACGAAGGACCCAGCGGTCTGATGTTATTTGTGACCAAGCACGGTAAAAGTGGGACAGATGGTTCAGGAAAAAGGGATGAGGATCTGGTCCATTGACTGGTATGCTGTCCTCGGGCGCACCTTCATAAGGCCTGTTTAGCGCCTGATGAAGACTGCGCCTGGCCTTGGCCTAGGCTAGGCGGGGGCTGGGAAGGCTTGCGCCTGCCATTCTTGCCACGCTTCCTCGAGAAGTCCTGCCTAGGCTGGGGAGGGTAGAAATGCTGCTGGGGTTGGGGCTTAAAATGTTTGCGCTGGGTGGCTGGTGTATGCATGCCCAGCGATTTCATCATTGCCTGAGAATCTTTTAGGCTGTGAAGCCTGGAGTCTGTTTGCTCCACAAAGAGGCCCATGCCATCAAATGGCAAGTCCTGCAGAGTTTGTTGCACTTCCGGGGGAAGCCCAGCCACCATGAGCTGCTTCTCATGTCTGCAGCATCCAGTGAGGCTTGCAACAAGGTCCATGCCGCTGCCTTGCCCTCGTTCATTATGGCCCCAAACTCTTCCATGGACTCCCTGGGTAGTAACTCCTTGAACTTTAACATTGAGCTCCCGGAGTTAAAGTTGTGCCTACTCAGGATTGCCTGCTGGTTGGCAATCCTGAGCTGGAGCCCCCTGGTAGGTCCAGTAGACCTTCCGGCCGAATAGGTCCAGCTTTTTAGAATCCTTAGACTTTGGGTTTGGACCCTGCTGCCCCTGCCTTTCATGCTCGTTTACCGCAGCCACCATCAACGAGCAGGGCTGCGGGTGTGTATACAAGTACTCGTACCCCTTAGAGGGGACGAAGTACTTTCTTTCCACTCCCTTTGCAGTCGGGGGAATGGAGGCAGGGTTTTGGTGTTAGCCTGAATTGTTTTAATGAGGGGCAAAGCCACCCTCGATGGGCCCTCCAGAGCCAGAATGTCCACCCTCAGGTCCTCTGGCTCGACAACCTCCTTGGCTTGCAGCCCCATGTTGTGAGCCACTCTGCACAGCAGGTCCCGGTGTGCCTGACTGTCGATTGGGGGCGGCCCAGAGGAGGAAGACCCCACTACTGCTTTTTCCGGGGAGGACGAAGACGATGCCAGGGGGACAAAGGGCCCTCCTGGCCATCTGGAGCCCTGGAGATGTCCTGTTTGGTGACAGGCTCCTCTGCAATGACTGCAGGTTCGGTGCTGGTGGTGGGCACGGGATTGGGAGGTGGCTGTGCGGCCCGCACCGATGTAGTCTCGGAGCCTCGAGGGGTGAGACAACCCGCGGCTGCCGGGGGCATTCGTGGTTCCGATACCATTGAGTGAGGGCCCCTGGAATGAGTGCCCTGGGTCTGGTGGTAGGCCCACAGAGTCCAAAAGGGCCCCTGCCACTGCACATGCTATGGCACTGCACTCATGTCCTGCTTGTGACGACCCAACCTGCGCCAGCTGTGCCGCGAATAGTGGGACTCTGCCTCCGACAACGTGGACCTGGAGTGCGAAGGCCACAGCGGTGCTGAGCGGAGCGGTGCCGGGGATTGATGCCGTGAGTACGGTGCTGGGGAGCGGTGCTGCGATGGGGAGATGGGGAATGGTGCCGTGATGAGCGGTGCCAGGATGGAAAGCGGTGCTGGAATGTAGAGCAGCATTGCGACTGAGAGCGGTGTCGTCCGTCCGGTGCAGGGGACAGGTGCCGTGTTGTCAGCGGTGATCGGTGCCTCGAAGACTGAGACGGGGACCGTCGTGGGGAGTGGTGGCATGGGGAGCGAAGCCTGGGGGATGGTGATCTCCTCATCATCGACAGCTTGCCTCTAGAAGATACCCCGCGTTGCGGCACCGGGGACCTTATCCCGACTGGCTAGGGACCAAGAAGCTGTCGTGGTAATTAAGTTCCAAGCGGCCTCAAAGGTATCCCGGTTAGATGGAAGTTCTATGTCCTCCACCCGGCATTCTTGATCAGGAGAGACCAGAGGTACCAGACTCAACGGCTCCCCCTGTGGGGCCGAAGTCAACGGTGCCGTCTCCTGGGCTGTCGGCGCCAGGACCTCTTTGCTACCTTTCCCTATGTCATTGGTACCTACATGTACCACGACCACTGGCTCTCCTCAGCACTGCACATAAATCTGTCTAGATGTCTTGAGAGATCTGCAACATTCACACCTGGCAGGCAATTCACCATCACAAACCCATCTCTATATTTCTAATGATCGAATCCCCCATTACTATTACTTGTCTCTTCCTAATAACTGGGATTCCCTTCCCCAGAGAGGTATCCTCAGTGCGAGAGGATACCATGACATCATCTGGAGAGAGGGACCGTTTCTCTCTGTTCCACCTTGATGTTCTCCTTCCCTGAGAAAGTAAAATAAATATTCATGGAAACACAGAGATCTGTGAATAGCAGGATACCAACAGTAAGTCTTCCTCTTTACCTGAACCCTGCAGTAATATATAGTTGCAGGCAAAAGTCCTTTCATTTCATAATTGAGTCCAGTCCCACAGTAACAGATCTGCATGCATCCTTCCACACTGCCCCACTCCAAACGGTATTCTGTGATGTCAGCTCCATTATTTACTGGGACCTTTAAAGTTAACAGAAAATAATTAGGACTTAAATTCATTGTCTGAAAATCAGACCAAACTCACCAAATCTTGACTACTTTCTCTATAAAACAGTAAGATAATGAATGTAACATTTTAAGCCATAAAAGTAGGTCAGAAAGCTGTAGAAACTGCATTTCCACAGGAAAGTCACCCTACGGTAGCTTCAGCAATCTCCAATTTATTACAGTACAAGCAAAACACTGCATTATTTTATTGGTCTTGAGCACATTAAAATACTAATGGATAATGTTCATGGTGGCAGAGTATTATATGTGGAGCAGTAACTGCTTTTTCAGTTGCTTAAATACTGAAGTGACACTAAGCGATAATCATAAAATCTATTAAATGTGGATATACTTCAAAGTGATTTCTCTTAAAGAACTAGATTACAAATAATGAAATAAAAATTATTCTCTTCTTTCATGGAGGACTTACCAGTCTAAGATACTGCTTCTCACTGAGGATATGCTATTATGAATCATTGCTCCAGGGCAGTTTTTTAAAAAAAGAATCATTAGTTTAAGAAGTGGACTATATGAAAAAGGAATGTGATTGAACATAAACAACATTTGAGAGAATAGTGTTTGATGTCCTGTGCTATGATTGGCAGAAATCTTTCTCTTCTGTAATTTACAATAAATTGTGGCATATTCTGGACTATTTATAGATGACATTAAAATTGTTAAAACACATTTAGGTTGCAAAGTCAAACACTAGAAAGTTAGGATGCACCAGAAACTAGGTTGGCTATGTACATTTTAATTCTGCTCCCTTGTGTGTATGCATCACGATACAGTATTTAAATATATAATTATATACTACTGTTTCCAGAGGACCCCTGCCTTGTTCAGGCCACAGAATGGACAATCAAGGAATGAGGCGGCTGTCCAAATATTTTTATTCTCATTTTTCAATTGGTGGCTCCATGCCTTACTTACTCCACAGTGTTCAAAGCCTATGAGCAACACAGAATTATTTTTCTCATGGTATTTTTGATCATGGTACTTATAATTGTATCTGTGTTGCACAGACATTAATTAATTTATCTCAACTACAAGATGACAGAATTATTTTTCCCATTTTATAAATGGGGAAATCAAGGCAAAGAGACTTGGCTGAGGCCACACAGTGATTCAGTGGCAGGGCCAGGATTAAAACTCAGGACCTCCTGATTCCCAGTGCTATGCACAGTCCTGCATACCAAATTACCTTACTGCTAGAGGGGCTGAGCATCCACAACTCCCAATAGCATTGGTTGCATTTGTGAACGCTCAGCACTTCTGTGTCTCAGTTTGCAGGTATCTTAAGTTGGGCACCAGTAAAAGAGGAACACACAATTAAAATGTTGGTTTAAATGACTTGTTTGAAATCATATAGGAAGACTGGGCAGAAGCAGGGATAGAACAGAGTTCTCCTGTGAGGCATTCACAGCGGTAAGAAGGAACTGAGAGGGCGTAGGGCCAGCGGCGCCTGATATACAGGCGCATGAGTGCGACACTCAAGGGGGCACCACTGCCTACTCTATGGATACCGCTAAGGCAAAAATCTCTGACGATCGCACCCAAGGACGTGCACACCTAGAATGGAATTGACATGAGCAAGCACTTGAAGAAGAATTAATGACATTAGCTGTTAGCAGAATCATAGAATATCAAGGTTGGAAGGGACCTCAGGAGATCATCTAGTCCAACCCCCTGCTCAAAGCAGGACCAATCCCCAACTAAATCATCCTAGCCAGGGCTTTGTCAAGCCTGACCTTAAAAACCTCTAAGGAAGGAGATTCCACCACCTCCCTAGGTAACCCATCTGAGTGCTTCACCACTTTCCCAGTGAAAAAGTTTTTCCTAATATCCAACCTAAACCTCCCCCACTGCAACTTGAGACCATTGCTCCTTGTTCTGTCATCTGCCACCACTGAGAACAGTCTCGATCCATCCTCTTTGGAACCCCCTTTCAGGTAGTTGAAAGCAGCTATCAAATCCCCCCTCATTTTTCTCTTCTGCAGACTAAACAATCCCAGTTCCCTCAGCCTCTCCTCATAAGTCATGTGCTCCAGCCCCCTAATCATTTTTGTTGCCCTCCTCTGGACTCTTTCCAATTTTTTCACATCCTTCTTGTAGTGTGGGGCCCAAAACTGGATACAGTACTCCAGATGAGGCCTCACCAATGCCGAATAGAGGGGAATGATTACGTCCCTCGATCTGCTGGCAATGCTCCTACTTATACAGCCCAAAATGCCGTTAGCCTTCCTGGGAACAAGGGCACACTGTTGACTCATATCCAGCTTCTCATCCACTATAACCCCTATATCCTTTTCTGCAGAACTGCTGCCTAGCCACTCGGTCCCTAGTCTGTAGCAGTGCATGGGATTCTTCCGTCCTAAGTGCAGGACTCTGCACTTGTCCTTGTTGAACCACCTCATATTTCTTTTGGCCCAATCCTCTAATTTGTCGAGGTCCCTTTTTATCCTATCCCTACCTTCCAGCGTATCTACCACTCCTCCCAGTTTAGTGTCATCTGCAAACTTGCTGAGGGTGCAATCCACGCCATCCTCCAGATCATTAATGAAGATATTGAACAAAACCGGCCCCAGGACCGACCTCTGGGGCACTCCGCTTGATACCGGCTGCCAACTAGACATGGAGCCATTGATCACTACCCGTTGAGCCTGATGATCTAGCCAGCTTTCTATCCACCTTATAGTCCATTCATCCAGCCCATATTTCTTTAACTGCTGGCAAGAATACTGTGGGAGACCGTGTCAAAAGCTTTGCTAAAGTCAAGGAATAACACATCCACTGCTTTCCCCTCATCCACAGATCCAGTTATCTCATCATAAAAGGCAATTAGGTTAGTCAGGCATGACTTCCCCTTGGTGAATCCATGCTGACTGTTCCTGATCACTTTCCTCTCCTCTAAGCGCTTCAAAATTGATTCCTTGAGGACCCGCTCCATGATTTTTCCAGGGACTGAGGGGAGGCTGACTGGCCTGTAGTTCCCCGGATCCTTCTTCTTCCCTTTTTTAAAGATGGACACTACATTAGCCTTTTTCCAGTCATCTGGGACTTCACCCAATTGCCATCAGTTTTGAAAGATAATGGCCAATGGCTCTACAATCACATCCGCCAACTCCTTTAGTATGCTAGGATGCAATAGAAGGCCATTATCCCTGGAGGTGTGGAAGTAGGAAAGAGGCCACATGCTGGGTTCAGGGATGGTCAGTCTGGCTCTTTCCTCCCCTCCTCTCCCATGACATGTGAGGAGCTCATTCCCCATGTGGTACCCCCAGAGGGGACATAAGCCATTGGGGCCATGCCCTAGGTCCAGCAAAGATTGTCAGAGACGGGGGGTACCGTCTCTGGAGGAGGATGCCTGCTCCCTGAGTCCACAGGGCAACATGCTGCTGCTGCATTGTTCCCAGTGCAGTTTGGGCATCTTAGATTACAATGTTCTTATGCAGTTATTATTTTGATATGCTGCCAAAATTTTGCTGACAATGCAAATGACAGAAGAGAATGGTGATTCTCTGGCCCCAAGACTTTCGTCCTGCTGAATTTTAAAGTCCTGTTGCAAACAATGAAAGTATTAGAGATTCTTTTTAAAAAAAGTTTCAAGACTCTTTTTCATGAAAAGTGTTAGGCAGCCTAAATATAAAGGTTTCTACCAGCTTTCTCCTGTAATGTGGGATTCCATCCAACACTTAATTTGTTTGTTATTTATGCTCACTGAGACCACGTTACATAATATGAACTTTCCATGTGAGCTTGTGCAAAAGTATTTTATTATTTTTCTTTTTAAAAGTGAACATTTTATAGATGCAAAAATGCATCTGAAAAGTCTTCAGCCTTTTTGCATTCATCTACAATGCTAAATCCCCATCCCATAGTAAGCAAATTTTTTAAAAGTTAAGAGTTCTTCCCCACCCTTCAGTGACAATCTTTTTCAGATTTAGTCTTGATGAGATTTATTTTGCTTACTAAAAATCACACACCTGAAAACTGGGAGGTTAACAGATAGACCCTTTGCTACATTATTACTGATGTGATGATATAAAGTACAAATCAGCTTAGAAAAGTGGTGAGTGTAAAGCCATCATTTGTGTTGTGTGGCTAGCTGGGTTTTCTGCAAAGGAAGAAACAAATGGTCTTAAAAAAATTAAAAAGAATCTGCATCAAATTCATACTCACAGTGTAGCACTATTGGAAAAACCCATAATAAAAACAAAGGAACAAGAGGATATTGTGTGTCGAAGTTTGAATATGTGTGGATCATTTAGCTACAAATATTGTATAAAGGAAATGGCAAATGATGCTTTGAGGACTTTCAAATTTTATGTTTAAGTTTCAATGTAAAGATAACCCATAATCAGGCAGTTTGTTTCTGTTTTGGTTTTTTTAAAATGTTGTCTTAGTTACAGTTTAGGCTTTTTAAAATTGACAAAAGAATATAAAAGGTAACTATCGTAAGACATAAAATAAGCCTAAAATATTCCTACCTCCCAATACACCTGTGCACATGTTGCCGATCTACATGTCACTTGAGGGGGTTTGCACTGATCCGGTGGTCCAGGGGCTGTAGTAATTTCACATTTCTCTGAATAGGGTCCAAACTATTAAAAATAGGTTGACATAATTATTACCATGTTTTTAAATAGAAGTTTTGCCCACAGTAGCTGTATATACTATTAGTGTTTGACAGTCAGCATCAAATATTGTGTGACTAATTTGCAAGATGACTTGTCATGACTTCAGGGTTCATTTCAATGTTTGAGCATTCTTCAGAACTACTATATTATTCTTCCTCTTTTGGAGATGTAGTGAGAATAAACATGACAATTTACACTCTAACTCAGAAGAGCACATGACTCTGTAAGTCACAGTTGCCAGGTTACATATGACAGCTAACCTGTAACAGAGAATATTGTACAACTGTGTATTTATTTAAATCTAAATGAAACAGAAGACTCCAAATAATAGGCTACAACTATAATTCTTCCTCTGGATGTTAGAAAGTAATTCAGCATTCAGCTTCTCTGCCAACATTGACAACTAGTGACAATCGTAATAAAGGTTTCTGTGACTCCTGTTCATTAACTGAACTGAAACAAAGAGTCCTGTGGCACCTTATAGATTACCAGACGTATTGGAGCATAAGCTTTCGTGGGTCAATACGTCTGTTAGTTTATAAGGTGCCACAGGACTGTTTGTTGCTTTTTACAGATCCAGACTAACACGGCTACCCCTCTGATACTTAACTGAACTGAGATGCCCACTCATTTTACTTTTAAATTAGGGTATTGGCTATTTAATAAAATCAAATATTTTAAAGCAATGGTTGATTTTAAAGCAGTTAATGTAAGGTTAATGTTCAAAATATAAGGAACCAGAGAACATTTTCTTACACTTTGTGAAGTACACACTAATAGATAAAAAACACAGGAAAAAAAGTAAGAAAATGCTAGTTGCTATGCTCCAGAAAGCCTTCAGCTGTGGAATGCACACAAAACAATCAATGTGCAAAACTACAGTACACCTCTACCCCGATATAACGCTGTCCTCAGGAGCCAAAAAATCTTACCACGTTATAGGTGAAACCGTGTTATATCGAACTTGCTTTGATCAGCCGGAGCGCGCAGCCCCGCTCCCCTGGAGCACTGCTTTACCGCGTTATATCCGAATTCGTGTTATATCGGGTCGCGTTATATCGGGGTAGAGGTGTATATAAAATCATTTACCTACTTACTTCACAGGGTGTTATGATAATTTATTAAAGTTTGTACAGTGCTTTGAATCAATGTTATATCATCAACATTATCATTTAGATTTAAGTAGTAATTAGATGTTTTCTCTTTCCTTCATCCAAACAACCCAGGTTTATTCAAATTGGTCTTTAACTGTTGGGTACTACAGTGCTGCTGTAAATCATCTGAACCAATTAAATCTCCATTAAGAATCTGCATGACAAAACTTAATATCTAAAATTTTTGAAAACAACAACATGCATAAAAATGATTGCACTTGATGTAACTCGTTTGATTTCAGACGGCCTCCTTACCCCAGCTTTGTTAGCTGCTCGCAGCCTAAAGCTGTATGTCTTTCCAGGAAGAAGGTTGCTTACGGTGCATTCAACATCAGAGCCTTGGTAAACCTCTCTGTGTTCATCTGTTTCCACAGAAGACATTTCCAGACCATAACAGGTAATAGGTGATCCACCATCTGCTTGAGGTGGTCCTAAAAAACAGGGAAAAGGATTAGATGGTTTTAAAAATGTATCAGCACATTTTGATTTCTCAGGCTATATCTACACTATAGACTTCTGCCAGCTTTGTTATGTCAGTCAGGGGTGTGAAAAGTTGTGATCTCTGACTGACACAGTTGTGCTGACAGAAATCATTAGTGTAGATGCAGCTATACTGGCAAAGCTGTACTTTTACCTCTACAGCTTGTTTTACTCGTGGGGGATGGTTTTACTATACTAGTACAAAACACAGCTTTGTTGATATAGCTGCATCCACACTTGGAGAACTTGGCTGGCATACTATACTGATATACCGACATTGGTAAAGCCCTCCTAGCATAGACTTGGCCTCAGATGATAGTCGCAATAACAATTACCCCATCTCAGCTGAATTTCTTTTGCTCTTGGTCTACCCTGTAGTCTGGGAGGTTGGCCTGGACCAGGAAGCACTGCTGGTGTCTGCACCAATAAAGAATCAGATGCCTGTAAAGGAAAAAATGACAAAGGCCGTAATATAATCGGATGCATTTTGACCTTACTTCATAAAGAAAATGAGAATACTTTGAACTCCAAATAAATATAATAAATGTCATAAAAATCAGTGAGGTAAAATATTGATAAATATTTCCATCAGATCCCAGTTTAGGAGAAGATCTATAAAAAGAGATCAATAACCAGGGACAGTAGGAACTGCATACAATTTTTGCACTGCTGTAACTATGTCAATTAGGGATGTGATTTTTTTATTGATATAGTTATACTGGTACAAACCTAGTGTAAATACAGGTATGCCAGTATAAAGGTGCCTTGCACAAGTATAACTTATTCCCCATCCCATAGGGGAATAAGCTGTATCAGTATAAGCATGTTTATATGGATATAATTGTGTCCATACTAGAGGTTATACCACTTTAACTATCCCGGTATAGGTTTTGCTTTAAACAAGGCCTGAGAGAGAGAAGATAAGTAAAAATTGTAACCAAAAAGTAGCAATGCTTTTTTTGATAGCAAAGTTGAATTGTCCACTTTTGCACTGCTTTTTATAATTAAATGTGCAGTAAATATCCACCTCCAATTTGGGGATGTGCACAGGAATGCACAGCATACCCCTTGTGTAGCACGGAGGTCCATTCCATAAGGATTCCCTGCATATGCTCAGGCAAGGGCAGGCTAGAGGATCAAAGGTTGTGCCGATCTGCCATTGCACACTGTTGCACAGGGATCAGAGGTGACTGCAGCGCACTATTCTGTGGCCTGAGGAAACATTCATTCCGTGCCCCACCTTCACATGTATTCAGCCCAGCTATTTAGACTGGGTGCTAGAATGATGATTTGGCTCTTGGAGAAATGAATATTTACATTGCTGTGCTGAGTTAAACAGATACTGCTTTAAGAAAGTTTTATTATTTCCAATAAATCACATCAGAAAAGTAGGGCAATTATATTGTCATGTTTTCTGTAAATTTGAATAGCAGCTGGATTAAGTAAAACATTTGTACAGAGAAATGTTCACATTTTATTTCTCTAAGAAATGGGAGCAGAAACTCTAAACTTTGGGCAAAATTTTCTGAAAATTTCTTGAGTCCCCAATTATAGATACTGTATTACATATTGGTTGTATGATTATTCTACAACATTCAATGTTCCTAGCTTGACCATCAGACTTTCTTAAAGCTAAAGAGGTTTTCCACAAGTGTCACATTTATATATAAAATATCAGACAATATTACCGCACTCTGCCCTCCTTCCCCAGTACAGTATACACGTAAGCGATAAGAGCAGCCTGGATGTAGTCGATCACACAAATGTTCCCTAGCAGCTCCACTGTATATTACGTCCCAGTTGTTTCCTGAAAGGTTAAGAATTAGTGTACAATGAACAAAGGTGCAATTTTCAGCATTTCGGTATCAGACATAGCACATATCCTAATTTCACTAAGCAAACGTGTGTGTCATTTGTCTGACAAATTCAAAGCTTGCTTTGAATTTCCTGGAAATGATTTAATTATCTCATGACGATAGTTTCCTAGACAAATTTGTGTAGATTTGCTGAAGTGAAATATCTCCCTTATCTGGCATACCCATTAACTAAGATGTATAATTTGTATTTAATAAAGCAGTTTAAATGTGCTTACTGGTCTAGTAATAATGTTATAACTAAATAGATGGAAGAAAAATAATAGACGAGCCCATGGAAAAGATACTTTAATTAAATCATATATATTCATTTTACACAGCAAGTCTATACTTCCTAAAATTAAAGTCTGATAAAGCCAGCCTGATTCCTGAGCAGTAGGAAGGGGCTTGCAGCACCTGAGATAAAAGGAAGTTACCTACCCTTTGTAACTGGAGTTCTTTGAGATTTTTTATGAATCTGTAAACTCAGGGGTTGTACTCTATGACTGGAGAATTGCTAACATAGTTCCTATTTTTAAGAAAGGGAAAAAAGACCATCTGGGAAACTACAGGCCTGTTAGTTTAACCTAATTGTATGCAAGGTCTTGGAACAAATTTTGAAAGAGAAAGTAGTTAAGGACATAGAGATAAACGGTAATTGCGATAAAATATAACATTGTTTTACAAAAATTAAATTGTGCCAGACCAACCTAATCTCCTTCTTTGAGAATATAACTGCTTTTTTAGACAAAGAAAATGCAGTAGGTCTAATCTACCTGGATTTCAGTAAGGCATTTGATACAGTTCCACATGGGAAATTATTAATTAAATTGGAGAAGATGGGGATTAATATGAGAACTGAAAGGTGGAGAAGGAACTGGTTAAAGGTGAGACTACAACAGGTCATATTGAAAGTTGAACTGTCAGGCTGGAGGGAGGTTATTAAGTGGAGTTCCTCAGGGATTGGTTTTGGGATCTATCTTATTTTTCTTATGGACCTTGGCACAAAAGGTGGAAGGGTGCTAATAAAATTTGCAGATGACACCAAAGTTGGGAGGTATTGCCAATATGGAGGAGGACCAGAATATCATACAAGAAGATCTGGACTACCTTGAAAACTGGAGTAATAGAAATGGGATGAAACTTAATATTGCAAAATGCAAGATCACGCACTTAGAGACTAACAACAAGAATTTTTGCTATAAGCTAGGGATGTATCAGTTGGAAGTGACAGAGGAGGAGATAGACCTGGGGTGTACTGGTTGATCACAGGATGACTATGAGCTGCTAATGTGATATAGCTGTAAAAAAAGGCTAATGTAGTCCTAGGATGATGCATAAGGGTATGGTGTTTCTACTAGGGTCAGGGGAGTGTTTATACTATTATATGAGGCACTGGTGAGACTTTATCTGGAATACCGTGTGCAATTCTGGTCTCCCATGTTTAAGAAAGATGAATTCAAACTGGAACAGGTGTAGAGAAGGGCTACTAGGATGATCCAAGGAATGGAAAACCTATCTTATGAGAGGAAACTCAAAGAGCTTGGCTTGTTTAGCCTAACCATTAGAAGGCTGAAGAGAGATATGATTGCTCTCTATAAATACACCAGAGGGATAAATACCAGGGAGGGAGATCAAGAACAAATGGATATAAACTGCCATCAACAAGTTTAGGCTTGAAATTAGACAAAGGTTTCTAACCATCAGAGGAGTGAAGTTCTAGAACAGCCTTCAAAGGGAAGCAGTGGGGGCAAAAAACCTAAGCTTGATACGTTTATGGAGGGGATGGTATGATGAGACTGCCTACAATGGCATGTGACTGATCTGCCGCCAAGTTAAAGAAGTATGGGCTGGATGAATGGACTGTAAGGTGGATAGAAAGCTGGCTAGATCGTCGGGCTCAACGGGTAGTGATCAATGGCT